GCTATAACGTTTTCTAGGCTGGCGACAGTCACAAGATGCAAAGCCTATCATTTGTTTGATTTAGCTATTTTTAATGTAGACGTTCGTGCACTACAGTAAAACGAGTTCTGTTTTTTTTTTTTTTTTAAGCCCACCTCAAACTGTACAGGAACTTTTACTTTGTTAATTATACTAATGGAACTTGATATTTGACTTTGCTTAAAAGCAACTGATGCAGTCTTTTAAAAAAGACAAGGGTTGTGCAAATATGTGTACACTGTTAAATCAAAATTCAGAAGTGTTAATTGGAATATTTCAACTTTATTTGATTCAAGAAGGGATATTGGCCCTCCTGTCAGAGCTGCCCTTTCTGTGCAAGAGAGTGTGTGTGTGTGTGGAGGGAACACAATATCCATTTCCATTCGTGTGTTTTTTAAAAGAATAATACTGAGATCTTGCACAAATGTTATTTTTCCAGACTAAGGTTCGCACAAGAGTGATAAAGAAGTCTTGTACAAAGTGCCTCTATTAAAAACCGAAACAAAATAAAGCCTCGTGCATGTGCCACAATTGATCGCCCAGTTAGTCTCCCAAATGCACGGTGTGGAGATTTGGAGCTACAGCTCCTCCTACCTAACCTGGTGGTTGTTGTAATTCAGATGTGCCTTTGCCATGCAACAGTTGGTGGAAATGGACACAATTATATTGTGTGGACCGCCAGAAACAAAATGGCTTAGGTGAGGAGCAGATGGAGGCAGGGCTGTGGCATTAGAAATATATTTGATCACCTCCTGCCCCTTGGAAATGCTACCCCCTGTCTATATTACAGCCTCATAGCCACAGCTGGCTGTTTGCCTATAGCAGGGATGTAGAACTTGTGACTCTCCAGATGTTGAACTACAATTCCCATCATCCCAGAGTATTGGGCCATGCTGGCTGAGGCTGCTGGGAGTTGCAGCCAGAATTCAACAACACTGAGAGGGCCACAAATTCCTCAGCGGCAGAGCTGCCATTTGACATTGTTCTTGAGACAGAGGTCCTGTGCTTTCAACAGCTGCTGAACCAGAAGTCTGCTGTGATGCAGCGATGGAGAAAGCTTCCCTTGTTGAACTTCTTCTGCCAGTTATGTAGCCATTACAGACTCAGAGCCGCAGCTGGATATGTTGATATTGCAGATTTCCTGTGGTCCGTATGGTAGGCAGTTAAATGTTCTGATGGTGTGCTGTGCATTATCAGACGTAATTCAGGTCCAGAACCCAAGTAAAACCTGCTCAGATGCCTAACTCCTTGTCCTGTCCTTTATCTGAAGTGGCAGGTTGTAGTTTGGAAAACATGGACCAGAAATGTGGATCTGGACTCTAGTTTGCCGATAGTTCCTGTTTCTGCAGAAATCTGCTCGAGGGACAATTTCTAGAAGACCCTAGCAAAGGCAGCTGGAAATCCAGTGACGAGCTCTGACACCCAAGACTCTATTGCACTACAGCTTGATATTAAAGTGGATGTTGTGCACAGCTAGCTAAGGGGAAAGGTAGGGTTGCTAACTGACTAGGACCATTCCAGCCTGACATGCCTTTGACATTGACTTGAAATTGGTTTTTCACAGCATGGATATCAGCACTATCGCCTGCTAGGATCTGCACATCACATTGCTGTTAAAGGCAGTAGCTATAGGGATGCACATTCTGGTGTGGGGAACAAACCTCACTTCACATATGCACTTGTAGAGGCTGATCTGGTGGTGAAGGATCAGGAAGGAGATATTGGAGTACTTGTGGTGGACAGCTCGATGAAAATGTCGACCTGGTGTGCGGCAGCTGTGAGAAAGGTGAATTCCATGTTAGCGATCATTAGGAAAGGGATTGAAAACAACAAGAACCACCTGCCAATATCATAGTGCCAATGTACAAATTTATGGTGAGACAACACTTGGAATACTCTGTACAGTTTTGGCTGTTGTATCTTGCTGTTGTATACACCTGGCTTGTTGTATACACCTGGCTGTTGTATACACCTGGCTTGAGAGCAGTACATGTGAAAAGGATCTAGGAGTCTTGGTTGACCACAAACTTGACATGAGCCAACAGTGTGACGCGGCAGCTAAAAAGCCAATGCAATTCTGGGCTGCATCAATAGGAGTATAGCATCTAGATCAAGGGAAGTAATAGTGCCACTGTATTCTGCTCTGGTCAGACCTCACCTGGAGTACTGTGTCCAGTTCTGGGCACCACAGTTCAAGAAGGACACTGACAAACTGGAACGTGTCCAGAGGAGGGTAACCAAAATGGTCAAAGGCCTGGAAACGATGCCTTATGAGGAACGGCTAAGGGAGCTGGGCATGTTTAGCCTGGAGAAGAGGAGGTTAAGGGGTGATATGATAGCCATGTTCAAATATATAAAAGAATGTCACATAGAGGAGGGAGAAAGGTTGTTTTCTGCTGCTCCAGAGAAGCGGACACGGAGCAATGGATCCAAACTACAAGAAAGAAGATTCCACCTAAACATTAGGAAGAACTTCCTGACAGTAAGAGCTGTTCGACAGTGGAATTTGCTGCCAAGGAGTGCGGTGGAGTCTCCTTCTTTGGAGGTCTTTAAGCAGAGGCTTGACAACCATATGTCAGGAGTGCTCTGATGGTGTTTTCTGCTTGGCAGGGGGTTGGACTCGATGGCCCTTGTGGTCTCTTCCAACTCTATGATTCTATGATCTTCAAAAAGATTGTAGAGCTGGAAAAGGTTCAGAGTCGGGCAACCCAAATGGTCACAGTACTGAACCAACTCTCCTATCAGGAATGATTACAACATTTGGGGCTTTGGTGAGTAAAGAGGTTGGGGGTGCGATAAAGATGCATAAAGAATTTTGCGTGATGCAAAGGAAGTGGACAGAGAGATGTTTTTCTCCATCTTCCATCATACTAGAACTGAGACCATCCAGTGAAGCTGAACGTTGGAAGAGTCAGGACCAACAAAAGAAAGAACTTGGCCCCTCCCTGCTTCTTGGCTTTCTTGCAGGCATTACCTGCAACTTGTCATTGATGCAATAATGGTGCATTAAAAAGGTAAAGGGACCCCTGATCATTAGGTCCAGTCCTGACCGACTCTGGGGTTGCGGCGCTCATCTTGCTTTATTGGCCGTGGGAGGTGGCGTACGGCTTCCGGGTCATGTGGCCAGCATGACTAAGCCGCTTCTGGTGAATAAGAGCAGTGCACGGAAGCGCCGTTTACCTTCCCGCCAGAGCAGTACCTTTTTATCTACTTGCACTTGATGTGCTTTCGAACTGCTAGGTTGGCAGGAGCAGGGACCGAGCAACGGGAGCTCACCCCGTCGTGGGGATTCGAACCCCCAACCTTCTGATCGGCAAGTCCTAGGCTCTGTGGTTTAACCCACAGCGCCACCCGCGTCCCTTTTAATGGTGCTTTAGTGGTGGATTTATACTGGGCCGCACACATCATTCCCCTTTATCAGCTGTTCTGTGATGCTTCCCTAATGTTACCATATTGCTGCCGTCTGGAGAGATATTCTTACACTGTGGCACCACAAAAGCAGGAACAAAAAACAAAAAACCCCAGGAACATTTGTGATGTGAAAAGTTGCAGGATTTTGGCCAGAAGCTACAGGGCATGCACATACCGCAAGCAAAGCAGCATGACTGCCTCAAAGCGTTTGCAGGCATGAATTGAACTGAAAATGCAAATTGCATGTAACCACCCTGATAACACCATGAGTGCAAGTCGTGATGAATGCTTAATAAAAAGGATGCCTGCAGGGGACCACATACTTAAAACTGTGGAATTTGTATCGGCCATCAGCTTGGATGGCTTTAAAAAGGAGTCAAACAGATTGGGGGGGGGGGGAGGCTATAAATGACTATCTGTCACGAACCCCTAACAGGTGCTTCACCTCCTTCATGGTATTAAGGTTGCCAACTTTTTACTTTTCACCCTGCTCCTTTGCCTTTAGTAGCAGCCTGATGTGTATAAATTTAAGCAACTGACGCTTTTCCTTACATGGGGATAAAGAGCTGGGGAAAGCTTCTTCCCCTACTTAATTTCTGATTACCATTCTTTTTTCATTTTTTAAGTCAGAGGAGTAAGGCTAGTTTTAAAAAAAAAAAGCTGGCAAACTTCCATTGCAATGGCTTACTTTGATTTAACTTTTCAGCACCATTCCAGGAATTCCTGCCTTGCTTGTTTAACATAAAGCAAGCATACCTATTTTTCTCTGTCAAATCCTTAAGCACATGATTGTACTTCTATGTAAAAATAGCAGGAAGTGGCTTGCTAGGCCATTATGTAGATATGGGTTAAGGGAGAAGGGCATCGTGAGGCCTCTGTTTTTCAGGTTGCAACCCACAGCTGCTGAGCACTGTGGTTTTCCTGCCAGACACAGCTTCCTGCATCGTGTACTACTGATTTGACAAGCTATCTTTTTTTCCTCTCCCACCCTCAAATGTCTAAATGTAGGGTTTTCTGGGTAGAAAAAAACCCAAGTGATCATTCTTCATTGATTCTAGAATAAAATATTGTGTGTATGCAGCCTCTGGGAAACAACTTGAGATGCCCATCAAACACATGCCCCTCTGAAGCACTGGCGGCCAACCTTTGGTCCTCCAAATGTTGCTCATCCCTGACCATTGGACACACCGGCTGGGGCTCATGGGAGTTGGAGTCCATTGGCATCTGGAGGGCCACAGTTCCTCCCCTCCTGCTCTAAAGGAGAACCAGGTTGAATCGGATCCAGTCATTGCTCTCAAGAAATGACTTCCATTCACTCAACCGAACTTCCCTCTTCCCCTGGCTGCCCTATATGCTCCAGAGGGTTGAGGACAACCCTAGAGCAGATTTTGGGAGGGTACAGGGTAGGGGGACAGATAGGGAGGAACAGGAGGGGAAGTCCCATTGTGTAAGTGGAAGTTGTCCCAAGAGTACAACCCACAATCTTCAGATGGAAAAGGGAGAAGAATGTAATGCAACGCCATCCTCTGTCTCTGTTCATGGTAGGCGAGTCCACTGACATCCTTCTTCAGGCTGTATTTGGCCCAGGGAAGTCTGTAGAGTGTGATACTCTTAATCTTAGGGTTGTGGGTTCGAGCCCTACATTGGGCAAAAGATTCTTGAATTGTAGGGGGTTGAACTAGATAACCCAGTCCAGTTCTATGATGGGCGTTGCTATTCCCTCTTCCACTGCCTGTGGTGGAACTCCTTTTGTACAATCCTTTGCTAGGCCTTAAAGTCAGAGGCACCTCAACCCTGAGCTGGCTGAAAGTTTCCCCCTGTACCTGCAACTTTGTGGAACAGCAAAGAATGTTGTTTCCTTATCAATAGCTAACTGTGCCCAATATATACAGTTTCTAGAATTTGTACTGCTCTGCATGGCATGAAAGTCCTCCATGTAGGATAGATGCACAATCCCTTCCTGCATACCCTGAAACCAAATATGGACAGAAGGTTTATCAGCGTTTACTGGATGTTCTCTGATTTGCTGTAGATTAGCAGAAGTCCTGAATCCTAATTTTTCCCTTCTAAAGTGGACGGGAGATATGAAGGAAGCTTGTGGTGGGGCAACAGGGCAGGGGACCAAGGGTAGGGTTTTGTGTGGCAGGGCTGTGAGCTCAGCTCTGATTCTGAAAACAAGTTCCTGCCCTGAGCATGTTCTCAGAGGCACTCTTGTTCTGTGAATCTGTTGGCATGCTTCCCCACCCCTGCCACCTCAGTATTTTGCATTTGGTTGTGCTGGGTAGGTCTCAGGGTTCTGGTAAAAACAAAATAGATACTATAAGCCTGAAGTCTCCCCACCCTCACAAAAAAACTTGATACAAAAACAGAAGAATTGTCAGAGTTTGTTCAGTCACAATAAAAGAGGAAGTGAGAGAATGAGCAGAAGGCTAGTGAAGAACTCTCCCCTTGGCCTTCATTAAATGCTTTTTTGTGTTATTGATGGTCTGAGGAAAAGGAGAGAGAAATCTAAAGGTCTGTAGACACTAGAGTTGTCAGAATTTCTTTTAATGAAAAAAGGAGATATCTTGGAGTTATGGTATCTGCACAAGTGAGTTCTAGAAGCCAGAATGTTCTGAAACAAAAGTACGTCCAAATGTTCAGTGGCAATGCCGCTGCGTTCTAGAATAAAGAGCATTTACATAAAATAATGGACATCTGGCAACCCTGACGCAGGGCCAGGCGAATGGAACAGGAAGTGCCCACAAGAAATTACAAAGTCACCATCCCCAACTCATCAAAGCTGTAGCTAATTGGTAGTGCAATGCTGTGCATGGATATGGTCCTCTCAGGCTCAGTCTTTGGCATCGGCTGATGAATGGCTAGGAAAGACCTCTCTGCCTGCAATGTTGGGAAGCCACTCCCAGCCAGAGTATGTGGATGAAGGGTAGCCAACGTGGTGCCCTGCACATGTTGTGGAATCCCAACTCCCATAATCTCTGACCATTGACCTTGCTGGCTGGGAGTGATGGGAGTCCAACAGCTTCTGTAGGGTACCACATTGACTACCCCTGAGACAGACGATGGTCTGATTCAGTTTAAGCGATCTCCTTTATTCGAAGCTCAGTCCATTTGAGCAATGGAGAGCAGAAATTGAAGGGCTAGGCAGAGCAGGACTCTGAGAGGGTCTCTAGGAAGGTTACCATGCCCTTCTTCCTTGGTATGGCATTCTCTTTTGGATGTCACATTGCTTTATTGGCACCATTAGAAACATTGCCGCGTCTCCAACCCCAATGTCCAGCCTGGACACTGAGGTCCACCTCTGAGGACCTTCTGGTGGTTCCCTCACTGCGAGAAGTGAAGCTACAGGGAACCAGGCAGAGGGCTTTCTCAGCAGTGGAACCCTTCCTGTGGAACGCCCTCCCACCAGATGTCAAGGACTTTTAGAAGACATCTGAAGGCAGCCCTGTATCGGGATGTGTTTAATGTTTGATGTTGTATTATAGTTTTTATATGTGTTGGAAGCTACCCAGAGTGGCTGGGGCAACCCAGCCAGATGGGCGGGGTATAAATAATAAAATTATTATAAAGCTGTGAATCAGGATAATTCTGTGTTATATGGGATGACTGATCCCTGCTGTCTTGAGCATGCTTTGCTCTAGACGTTCATTTTTATACCCATTACGTGGCTGGAGAACGGCATTGCAAAATTCGGAGGAGTGTGAATTTAGAAGGGTGGCTGTTTCAGTTCATGTACTGTTTTGGAAAGCATGAATTCGGCAGTTTTGCCTCCAGATGTGAACTGAATTGAATTCTTCCCCTGTCCATACCTGCATTACACTGAACTGGTCACCTGCCATTTCGGACATCGGCACATTTCTTGGAAGAGCCTGTCTGCCACCCTCCTTGGCAAGCATCTCCTGCCAGGTCTCTTCCTGCTCCCCTTTCCCAGCCTCATGAATGATCGTGTGACTCAGGACTCCTGCCTCCCCTATCTCTCTGTAGCTGCCACCTCACTCCACCCCTCTGCCCCCAGCTGTTCTCTAAACTCCAGGCTGACACACTTGTAACGCCAGGGCGGTTTTATGCTAGTTCCCTCTCCTCCCCAAGAAGTCTAGGCCATGGCGCAAGTGCAGCTTAGCGCTTTCGCAGTGCCTGCCACCTTACAGCCAGCAGCATCACCCGCTCAACCCTGTCCTCACTGGAAGGCACACGTGTATCTCTCCCCCCCATCTTTCTCCTTGCCTGCCACCCCAGACCTTGCTGCATCTGCTGCTCTAGACAATTGCTGCCATCTCCCACATAGCAACCCAGCATTCTGCTGCCATGACAACAGGACAGCGTGGGAAGGATGGAGGGTTGCTAGGGATGCGATGTGGCACCTTTCTTGATTATAGCCAAAGCATAGGTGCTACAGTACCTTTAGCCCCATGGTGGTAGGACCCTCAGTTAGGAAGCCCTTCAGGTGAAGCATGAAATGACTTGCATGTGCTATTTCCAGACCCCAGCAGGCTGGGTTAAGTGGATAAAATTCCAAATGCCTGTACTTTTAAGGCAAGGCAATATTATGTGTTCTGGTCCTGTCTTCAGAAGCAGGGCTGAGGCACTGCTGCCTGAGTGAAGTTAGTAGGCTGTATGTTGTGCAGTGATCCTCTTTATTCCCAGCCTGCCATTTTGATAATCCAAAACTGTGCAAAACAGCACACATAGCTCAGAAGATGTACACATGCAAAACATCTCAGGTTTGGTTTCTGGCATCTCCAGTGACAAGGGTCAAACTCTGATTGGCCGAAGTCATTTCTTTCCTGGCTCCTCCTCTGGGTGGTGCTTCCTGAATAAAAACCCTTGAACTTCCTAAAATCAATTAGTTTCCACTCCTTCTGAGTGTGTGAGTGAGTGTTTGAGGATATAACGGGAAATACCTCTGCCTGATATCCTGGAGACCTCCAGCAAGTCAGAGTACAAAGGTCCTGCTGTAAGACAGCTTTCTGCATTCTAAAAGGGGGCAACTATTGTCCTTATCATTTGTATGTGAACATCCATAAGGAATATTTGTGTCTTCTGACAGCAGAGGAGAATGATGATCTTGAAGATCAGTAGGTCTGGCCACGCCAACACCCCTGGCATATCCATTCTGATGTTCTTCCGTCTTCCAGCTATAAGATAATACATCTTCTGCACTTATATCCCTGAAACATCATGCCCTTTAGTTCATATTTCCCTTTGTGAGAATAGTTCCATATTGTCTGAGAACCTGGCTCTTGGAAGCACTATATAAAGCACATAAAGTAGGAAAATAAAGGCTGATTGTCTTAATCTGCATAATTTATTCTGAGCACTATTTCCTCCAGCTCCCCTTCTAATTTGTGCAGCATGAATACAGCTCTGGATTCTGGGATTTTGAGGGGGGAGGAGAATCCCCTCTTGCTAGCTTAGCTCTGCCCATTATAGAATCATAGAATCATAGAGTTGGAAGAGACCACAAGGGCCATCGAGTCCAACTCCCTGCCAAGCAGGAAACACCATCAGAGCACTCCTGACATATGGTTGTCAAGCCTTTGCTTAAAGACCTCCAAAGAAGGAGACTCCACCACACTCCTTGGCAGCAAATTCCACTGTCGAACAGCTCTTACTGTCAGGAAGTTCTTCCTAATGTTTAGGTGGAATCTTCTTTCTTGTAGTTTGGATCCATTGCTCCGTGTCCGCTTCTCTGGAGCAGCAGAAAACAACCTTTCTCCCTCGTCTATGTGACATTCTTTTATATATTTGAACATGGCTATCATATCACCCCTTAACCTCCTCTTCTGCAGGCTAAACATGCCCAGCTCCCTTAGCCGTTCCTCATAAGGCATCGTTTCCAGGCCTTTGACCATTTTGGTTGCCCTCCTCTGGACACGTTCCAGTTTGTCAGTGTCCTTCTTGAACTGTGGTGCCCAGAACTGGACACAGTACTCCAGGTGAGGTCTGACCAGAGCAGAATACAGTGGCACTATTACTTCCCTTGATCTAGATGCATTAGGATACCAACCATGACGCTGCACAAACACCATACTTTTAAAGCACTCCCCACAAGTTCTGGGAATTGGAGTCTACCTAATGTTGCCATATTTTAAAAAAGTGAAAATCTGGACACACAAAAATGACATTTTTGAGGAAATTCAGCAAAATCTAGACTTGTCATGTCCCGATTTTCCTGGACATTTCAGCGATTTCTGCCCAGACACTGCTTCCGACTGCCATATTCCAGGTATGTCCAGGAAATTCCAGACATATGGCAACCCTAAAATTACCCATCACAGAGCTACAATTGCCAACTCCTTTAGCCAACTACAGCTCTCAGGGGAAGTCAATCTGACAAGGCATTGGCTCCCTTAGAGCTGGCTCTCCCTTTTATTTATTTTATTTTTTTGCAGCCATAACCACAGAAACCATGGTTGGTTCACTAGATGGAGCTGCAAAATTTGGCTTGCCTGGCTGCATCCTGTGGCCTGCTGTGTGGGCTTCATTCCCTCCTGGTTTCATCGCCTGCTTCCATCAGATGTGCCAATGGGACACGGAAGGGAGCAGGGAGGGGAAAGAGCATGCCAGGCTGCAAAATGAATTAATCCCCCAAACAAAATAGTTCTGCAGCATGAATAGACATGGCTCTAAAAACAAGTTCAGCCAAAGCA